TTGTGTCTCATGTGGAGTATATGAACTAGAAGTTTCTGGTGGAAAGAGTAAGCAAGAGAGGAAGCTGGGGTTAACAGACCTGGGGAAGCCCATCGGGAAGTGGGTTCGAAGGCTTCCCAGATGAACGAATTAGCTCATAATGAGACAAGGTGTTGGCTGACTGATGAAGCCATACCCACCCACCTCCTGCAACAGCAGAGGAATTAGCTCATGGCTGGCAAAGCCTCCTGCACTGTCCCAGAAGCCAGGGAGCATGTTTGAACGGCAGCCCTAAGTGCAGAGTGGGTCCCTAGACCCTCACACACCACTACCGCAGGAAGCCGGGAGCAGCTGCAAGGTTGTCCTCACTGATGCTGGGTGGGACACACCCTAGCCTGGTGGAATTATGGGATTGTCTTCTTTCTCCCAACACCCAGGGTCTAGGAACACCATCTGGCTTCCTCCTTGGCTCTGTGCTTCCCAGTCCCTGGAGGACCTACGTTAGATGGAAAGCCTGTCGCCCAACATGTTGGAGGGCTCTTCCTGGGTCCAGGCTCCCAAACATCCTGGTTATTAAGAAAGACAGAAGGTTCTTGCCACTCTGCCCACCAAGAAGCTTCCCAGTAATGACCCCTGACCCAGGCACCCAGCCATCATCTCTCCTCTAGTTCAGAATAAAGCCAGCTCAGTGCCCACTAAGTGGGCAGTTGATGATGAATCTTTCTCCTGGCACCTCCTCAGGCCTGTGTAAGTGACATTACAGCTCAGCCCCCACACCCAGCTGTAGGGAAGAGAAGAAACCCTCTGGGCCTCATCAGACACTAAGGCACTTAGGAGGTTGCATGTCTTGGAACACTGCCTGGTGACCAGAGAATGGAGCAAGACCTTATCATTTGTTGGGAAGCAACAAGGCTTGCTTCAGATGCACCTGACCCCACGCTCTACAATGGCAAGTCCCTAATTTGGAGCTCCCCATACTTCTTCTCCATGCCTCATTAACAATAGTAGTCTTCCAGTGGGTCCAGCTCCAGAGAGTTGCAAACACAGTTTGAGGCCCCCAATTAGGCCTTGTCAGAAGACACTCCATCACACCTGATTCTATTTGCTCTTACTGGCGCCATTGCACAGGTCAGGAACCAAATCCACAAGGAGACTGAGCCCGAGTCCTCAGTTTGCTGGGAACAGTGCGGGGACCAAAAGCCAGGACGTAGCCCAGTCCTGGCCTCTATGTGCATGATGCATGACCAGACCTGGGTCACCCGGCGCTGTAAACTCTATTCTTAGAGTGGGTATTCTAAGCAGGAGCAGGGGAGGAGGGAGCCGGTGCAGCATGCTGTGTTGGTGAGCTCCTTTCTAGCAGACCTGTTTTTTCACAAAGGACTTTCAGAACCTTTTAAAATCCAGAACTGTGGGGCAGGTGGGGTGGGGTGAGCTGACCGGGGCTGTGGGCTTCCAAGGAAAGATGTAAGAAGAGACGGACTCAGGTCACCCAAAAGTCGGGGATCCACAGATGAATACTCTGTGCAGTGGCAGGGTGATGGAACTGGGGTGTGGCGCCAATAGGTTACATCCACTTAACAATACTTTTAAGTGTAACTTTATCTAGGCTACCCACATAGTAGGTGCCCTAAAAACAGCTCTGTTTTGCCTTGCCTAAGCCTCACATGCACCCCAGCATTGGATGTTGTTATCTTCAGACATCACTCAGGGACCTCACTCTTGTTAATGCTCTGCATCATCATCCTGAAATTCTTAGAACTTTTTTTCTTTTTCTTTTTTCCTTTTTCTTGTCCTTTTTTAAACAAGGAGCCCAGTATTTGAATTTTGCACTGAGCCCCGGATGCTTATCACAACTGGTCCTGTTTGTACCTGATTCTCAGATCAGGACAGGGAGGCATGGGGTGGTCATGAAGCCACAGACCGAAGCATAGATCCAGCTCTGAGCCTGAGGCTCCAGGGTAAAAAGACTGACTCTAAATCAGATGGTGCTGTATGCCCATGACCCAGCTGGCAACTACCTGTGACTAGAAGAGGCACTTCTCTTCTCCCATCTCTAGGCACCCTCCTTTGTGATATGGGTACCTCTCCCTTGTCTGTTAGGTGAGGGTGAGGCTGGAGAGAACTAGAGTACACCCTGGTACTTTGCACAGAGGTGAAGCTGGTGAATCAAAGCCTCCTCTGGGCTGACTCAGCTTATGGTGTTCCTGTTGCAGGCCTCCTCTGAACAGATTGAGAAACATTAATTAAAACAAAGCCACACAATCAGACAGTAGTTTTCCACCCCAGTGGGGGAGACCCTTTTCTAACCCTACGGGATGCTAACCCCAGAAGGGGAGGAGTGCAGCAGGGATGAGGGCATCCTACTGTGTTATCTCTCACAGGACTCTGGTGGGCAGAACACTGCTCAGTGGCCTGTCTGAACTGGACTTTCTCCAAAAAGCTCTGCTGGAGGTAATGAAAGCTCCCCTGTCCTTGAGAAGGAAGCTCTGTGGGGTTCAGCCACCCCAGGTGCACTCAGAATGGATTCTGGCACCTCAGTAAAACAGAAGGGAGGCGCCTGGGAGGGGCCCCGGAAAGCTCCAGATTTGGAGAGAGCGGAAGAAGGCTGTCACTGGAAAGTGCATGGAAGGAGCCTCAGGAGTCCTGTGTCTTCTGAGCACACTAACAGTCAAAGAGTACACAGGAAGAGATCAGCGGCATTAACCCTTTTTACAGACAGGGAACTAAGGCTCAGGCAGCTTAGAGCTAGGATCAGATCCCAAGTCCACCGTCTCTGAAGAAGACCTTTTTTTTTTTGGTCTTTTTGAGACAGGGTCTCCCTGTAGCAGAACTCACTATGTAGACCAGGCTGGCCTTGAACTCCCAGGGATCTGCCTGCTTCTGCCTCCCGAGTGCTGGGATTAAAGGCATGTGCCACCATGCCTGGCAAGAAGACCAATTTTTAACTGTGTTAACTGTGTGCTTGGAGCTCCTGGGAACTTGGGAACGTGCTGCTATTGGAGTCCCCAGGCCCAGATCAGTGGACTCAGACCCCTGGGAGGGGCCTGGGTTCCTCAATTCTGCCCAGAGAGGACATGAAATGAAACTAGGTTGCTTTGCTATCCGTGGGCTAGAATGTTCTTCATTCCATAATAACACCCTAATAAGGGAGGTCTCAGAGCCTGGGGAGGGCAGCATCCCATCTTCTGGCAGCCCTCCTCACAGCCTAGGCTTGTAGGGGTTTTCCAGAGCAGAAAGCTCCACTTTTACCTTCTTCCTGAGCATCTTCATGCCTGTTGAGAGGAATTTCACATCCTCCCTCAGTGGTCCAGCCTGCCAACTTGTTTCCTTCAACCCCATCTTAATTTGAACCTTTCAACCTCCATGCCAACTTCATCTACCCAGTTCCCATCATCCCAAGCAAATGTCACCAGTTTCACATTTTTAAAAAAATTATTTACTTTATGTGTATGAGTGCGTTGCCTGCATGTATGTAAGTCCACTCGTGTCATGCAATGCCCATGGATGTCAGAAGAGGGCGTTGGGTCTCTTGGAACTGTCGTTACGGATGGTTGCTAGCTGCCTTGTGGGTGCTGGGAACTGAACCCTGGTTTTCTGCAAGAGCAATCAGTGCTCTTAACCACTGAGCCATCTCTCCAGCCCATTTTACTTTTTATAATGGTTTTATTCATAATCAATAAACTGCACAAACAGCTCAATATACTTCAACAGGTAGAAAGACAAATCGTATTACATCCATTCAATGCTTCAATAAGAAAGGAAGAAATAAAATAAAATGCTGATACACAAAACACAGCCAGGTCTCAAGTGTGCTGTGGCGACTGAAAGAAGCCCGAGCCTGTACTGTATAAGAATCTGTTGATAGGACATGCTCAGAAAGAGAATGTGTGGAAACAGAAGGTATATCATCTTCTGGGGTGGGAGCTGGAGGTAGGGCCTATGCAGGGGCAGTGTAACTACTTTGTGTCACCATGGAGGCAGGGAATTTTTAAGACATGCACAAGTGCACAAACATCTCTTTCGTTCCCTCCTCTTCCTCACAAGAACAGTGTGTTCACCAGGCTGCTGAGCAGCTCACTTTTCCATTTGAGCGATATCCTGGACTTTGTTCCACATCAGTTCCATGTTTAGAGCTCAGCACAGATGTTTTGGGTTTTTTTCAAACCCAAGTTCAAATCACATGTTTCCTGCTCTGATCTGCCCTTGCCCAGATCCCCTCAAGATTGAGGCTGGGAGGCTCAGCTAGGTCTCTAACTCAGAGCTACTTTTCTACCTGTACCTTGGGTGATGCAGCAGGAGTCTTGGCTTAGAGGCCTCACTAGAGACAAGGTGGCCAGATCAGATCACAGCTGGAACCCTTGCAAGGTGGCACTGCTGTGTGGGCACCTTACGTAAATGTGAAAAACATCTTTTCAAAAGACTGAGTCGCGAGTCACGTTTAGTTTCACAGTCCAACTCCCTTCTCTGCAGCAACTATGGGTTTGTTTTCTTCCTTCTCTGAAGAGATGAGGTCACATGTTGTTACTGGAGCCAGAAGCTGAGTGTGGACAGAGGGCGGGGGCTGTAGTGGGTGGAGGTGGCCAGAGAGCAGGGGACACCTGCTCTGAATCTACTCAGGGGCTCACCTGGCCTGTCAGCTGGCTCTGGAGACCTTCCCAGAGAAGAGACCTGTGCCCTCAGACTCACACGAGCTGGGCTTGTCCCCGAGTTTCTTGCTGAGGGATATGTCTTGGTGAGTTACTTAGCCTCCTGGGTACTTGGTTCTTCCCGTATAAAATAGGGGTTAAAAACAAACCACTAGACTTGCTGTGGGAACTCTATGGGATCATAGAGGTGGAATGGTTTTAAAATGGTAAAGGACCATCCAGTTTCAGCAAGTTCTCTGCATAAAGTTAGTGGCATCGTCTCACTTCTAATCTGGAACTGATAGGTAGAAGGCCTATCCCTGAACCTCTCTGACCCTTAGTCTCCCCTCCTAGGGAGCAATATGAAGATTAATGTAATTCTTATCCTTGCTGCAGGCCCGCTGCCCATCCTTTGCCAGAGAAGAGGGCACGCCTGGAAGCTTCCCTCTGACGGCACACCTCCAGCACGCATAGAACTTGGCAGAGGCTGTCCCTGAGATTCCTGCTGACACTTGTCTGAGCCTGCCTTCTGTGGAGCATGGCCCCCACAGGATTCCGGAACAAATCATAGACCCTAAGCCCTACAGCTGCTCTGAGAGGCACACTCCACAGCCCGGTTTGGCTCCAGGTGCTGTCTAGCCTCTGAAACAAGCTCCTGTCCTCAGGATGTCTTCAGGAACCCTGGCCACAGCCGTATGAGGCTTTTGCAGAGCAGGACCAGATCTTACCACCCATCAAGCCTCCCTTGTGGCACCCCACCACCTCCCATGCCTGGCTGCTGGGGCAGACTAGAGAATGTCTGTGCCCCAGATCCAAGTGGAGGAAGTAGGTGAGGAAGATGGGACCACAGGGGCAGCCGCACCTCTGGACGACCACCTTCTCAGCCTGAAGGCCCTCACAGAGAAGCTGAGGCTGGAGACCCGCAGACCCTCCTACCTGGAATGGCAGGCCAGGTTGGAGGGACAGACATGGTCCTTCCCCAGGCCAGCTGTCCAGCAGGAGGCAAACTTGGAGCAGGGAGCTCTTGGGGCTGGAGAGCCTTTGCTATCCCCAGTAAAGCCCAGAGAGCATCCCCCACCTGCCAGGAGTGCCAGCGGGGGTGACAGGCCACTGTCCAAAGGCAAGCTGGAAGGTTTCCAGAGTATCGATGAAGCTATAACCTGGCTCAGGAAGGAACTGGTGAGTACCCCCAGAAGACCCAGACACAAAGCGAGCCATGTTTCCTCCCTTCATCTTTCTCTCTGACTTTATCTCAGTTCCCACACAGTGTTCGTCCTCCCATCTCTACCTGTCCCTCATCTACACATCTGTCATCTTCCTGTTAGATGAAGGGCAGATCTCATGTCTCTGTGGTTACATGGAGCCTGGGTCAGTCAACCCCTAATCACAGGTATAGAGGAAGTAACAAGGACCTGAACTAAAGCTAGGGTGTCCCTATACTTCCCTCACCAGCATCAGAGTCTCCTACTCCTATCCCAGAGTTTACCTGCCCTCACTTCTCCCTGAAGCCCCCTCCCTTGCCATCCTTGCATCACACACCTGGAGTGTGATGCTGAGCATCTAGACTCTTTGTTTAAAGCCTGCTTCCAGCACACAGCCTAGGCTGAGAGCTTTGCCTGAGATGGATGGGGCACGCTCATGTTGTCTACACTGCTGGGTCCACCACTCAGCAACTGGGTGACTCTTTCCCTGAGCTAAGCATTGGCACTGGGCTGGATGGTGGGGCTCCATAGGTGACCTACTTTGGAAGGGGCTCACAGTCTGGGGCTCATAGCTGTAAGTACTGGGGCCCAGCTTGGGAAGGGCTGCTTGATAATTTGAGGTATACAGGAGCTGCCAGACAGGGGCCACATGACTGATCACGCCTGAGGTAAAGGCTTCGGCAAGGTTGATGAGTAGGATCCTGCCTGGAAGTCAGGGCGGTGCAGGCATTCTGAGTGGAATGAGTGAGCAAAGGGCAGGAGATGCTGAGCCACACATCGGCTGGACCCTTTTACTGCCCACAGGCAAAACAGATTCCCATTAGGAACTTCTCACCATGCACCAGCCCTAGGAGAGTAGGTGGGGCATTGTCACACCCTCTCACAGGACAATCACTGGTCACCAACATTCATGGTGGCTTCTTGGCAGAACCAGACCTGAAATAAAGCCTCTCCATGATCTCAATAAGCTGCCCTGCCCATCACCTGGGTCATAGATAACACCTGATGGGGGCCATCTGGCCAGGTGACTTCTACAAGTGGTAGTCACTCCCAGGGCAACAGGAAGCCAGAGGTTTGTTTTATTGAGTCCTGAAAAACAGATCTCCACTGGTGCCTGACATTCCTCATGGGCTAAAATAAAGCATTAGGGTTCAGGGTAGGAAAAGCTCAGGAAACTGGGCATCTGATTAACTGAGAACCTCTTTAGCTTTCATTCTTGACGTTGAGACTGCTCAGAACTCAGAGCACACTGTTCCTCTATGTGTGCTGTTAGGAAAGAAAGTGGATGCTTGCTGTGGTTTCCCCAGAACACTGCGCCTGGGGATTCTTTCTCTGTGGGGATACTCATGGGGGTATGAGAGGTAGAGAGATGGGCATGCAGGGCCCAGGAACAGACCCTGAAAGCTGCTCCCTGAATTCCTGAGACTAAACTGCTTTGATCTGTTTTTCACAGAGGAACAAAAATAGTAATAATATTCCCATTAGCCAAAGATGCAATTTATTAGTTTCTGGTTCATTTGAGATTTTATTGCTTCTGGGAGCAGAATTGTTTACTGTTCAAATAAGTTCGCATTCCTTGTGGGCTCCCCTTTGGAGTAAAGGGTAGAGAAGTAGAGTAGAAACCAGTAGAGCAGTCCCTGGAGCTTGCAGGCATCCCCCACCCCAGTCGTCCTTTAGACAGAAAGGTGCCTTAGAGAGCTTTTCCAAGTCCCAAAGCCTCCGCCATACCCCAGGTCATTGAAATGAGCACCTGTGGTGTGATGCTGGGCATCTAGACTCTTCAAAGCTCATTTAAAGCCTGCTTCCAGCACTCAGCCTAGGCTGGTAGCTTTGCCTGAGATCGATGGGGCAGGCTTATGTCTCTTGCTAGGACACAGCAAGCCAAGCAGCTTAAGGTGCCCCACCCAGAGTGTGCTGGCCAAGAGCAGGAGGCAAGCCAGGTGCAGGGGCAGCTGTGGATGCTATAGACTGTGGGACTCATGGGGGACAGCAGGGGCAGTCATAGTCAGGAATGATTTGACTGTCAAAGACTGTCCGATGTGGACACAGGGAATATTTGCATTAGTAAAATCCCTTATATCTGTGCAACTTTTTCCACTCTCCTGGGTTACAATGGGTGCATGATGATGGTGATGATTGTGGCATCGTGGTGCTTACCCTGTGCCAGGTGCTTCCCTTGCAGTGCTCACGTCTCCCTGTCACATGACCTCACCTTCCCAAACCCTTACTTTCAGAAAGACAAGAAGGGCTCAGAGAGAAATGCACAGGAAATGAGAAAGTTGATCTGTGAACCCTGGCGCACCAGGTCCCTTGGCCAATGTTAACCTTAGCTGCCGGGCCAGGATGTAGCGTTGTCCTAAAACTGTAAGTTCACAGGGATGTCAGCAGTCAACAGAACATGCGATGTGGAGGCAGAGAGAGAAAAACGGGATTGAGTGAGAATCCCTGCTCTGCATTCTCTTCCTGAGAAGGATTCTGTGTGTTTTGTGTCATTGCCACCATTGTACAGAGGAGCTCACTGGGGCTCCTGGGGCTCCTGGGCAACCTGCCTATAATAATATGGCTTGAAAGTGACAGACCCAGAGCTCAAACTCACCTATCACCTTTAAAAGAATCAGGGAGGCTGGTGAGGTGCTTAACTGCAGAGGACCTCCCTCCGAACATGCTGAAAAAGCCCTAACCCCCAGACTCCACTGTACATACAGAGTCCCTGGGTCTCTTGTGATGGTGAAGAGTCTGGTTCCATGAATCTGGAATGTAGCTCACGATTCAGAATTTCCAAACAAACTCTAAGGGACACTGAATGTCATATGACATACCACACTTTGAGTCCCAAGGAATCAAAGGAGGCCTAAGAGATCAGGAAGAGACCTCAGAGGATAGAGCCAGGAGTCCCCAAGCTTGAGCTCCACACCCTACCATAACTGCCCATGTGGCCAAACTCAGCCAGCAAAAGGGCCGTAGTGGGGGCGCTCACAGCATCCCCAGCCCAGTGGTCCAGGAACCACACCTGCTTAGAGATGGTCTTCCCCTAAAGCAGCAGAGGACCGATCACCAGGAAGGGCAACTTGTAAAACACTTTGAGCTAGAAGCAGCTCAGCTTAGAATACATTATTTTCTCTCTAAGTCTCAGTTAAAACAAAGGTTTCCTGCTATTGGATTTTTAATTTGTCCTGTATTATCCATCAAGGTATTTTTTAAATTGGCCTGTTTTTTAGGTACCAATGAAAATGGCTTGCATAACCTCTACTATGCTGTGTTTATTTAAGCCCAGAATCAAGCTTTCATAACACCTGGGAAGCCCTGCTCTCCCTGTACATTTGTTAGAGTCATGTACAAATTTGTCCTTTCTCCCATATGGCCAGAGAAACACATTGAAACCCTGTAATTTGGTCAGTATGTGGGCCTTTCCCTACACACTGCCACACCCCCCCCCCCCGCCCCCCCCCCCAGAAGCTTATTTTTCTAGTCCTGGGGATTGAAACTAGGGCCTTTCCCATGCTAGACAGGTGCCCTCCATTGAGCTATATCCTCAGTGCTCTCTCTGTTACACTTTTTATTTGGTGACAGTCTTGTCAAGTTGCCCAGGCTGGTCTTTAACTCACCCTATAGCCCAGGCAGGCCTTGAACCTACAATCCTCCTGCCTCGGCTAAGATTACAGACCTGGGCCATCAGGAAGTTTTAGTACCAAGGGCAGCCCTAAAGTGCCTCCTGTCCATCTGGCAGCCCTCTCAGGAGCTGTTGAAACAATCAGGGAGATAGTTGTCAATGTGGCCCTATTTAGAGGCAGGCTGCATGGGTCTGGGAAGCATCATCCAACCTTCCCTGTCTCCTCCAAGGGCAGTCGACAGGTGTTACAAAATCTGGACAGGTTTCCAAAGCAAGGACCGGGCTGGAACTCCCTTCTGATGCTCCTTCCTGGCTTTCACCCCAAGAACACGGTGGTTGTTTCTAGCACCCCAGAAGACTTGCAAGTAGAATGGCTTTTTCTTCAGCTAATGTACTGGGGATTACTGGGAAGACAGATCTTCAAAGATCCTGAGACCGTCTGGAAGGACTGTGGTTTCTAGACCACTTGGCTAGGGATGCTGAGAGCTCCTTCACTCAGACCCCTTCACCAAATGAGCCCTGGGCACATGGGACAGTTATAACAAGGACAAGGCCTCAAGTTTAAGCTAGGGGACCCCCTGGGTCTCCCATCCTGGGTCTCCTTTCATTCCTTCATACTCAAATTGTCGAATATCATATGACAGCTGAGCCCTGACTTCCTCTCCCAACAGACCTAGAGACGGTGCAGGTGGGGCAGCGGCCTCTGTGCTAAGTGGCTTCAGGTCACCTGACACCCCCAGGCAAACCAGCCCCACTGTTTCTGAGACAGCCATTCAGGGTCCTGGAAAATAGCCATTGTACACCTCTGCTTGTTCCAGGTTGCTCTGGTTACCAGAAAGTCACAGGCCCCAGCTAGCCCCAGCCACAACGGCAGCCTAATGGGTGGAGGCAATTCTTCAGGGTGGAAAGGCCATGACTCTGGGCCATGACTCTGGAAACCTGTCACCTACTTCCAGCTGAGCATGGAGTTCACAGTCCTGATAGCTCTTTGCTAGGGAAGCAGCTTCAGGCCTGGGCCTGGAGCTGAGCCTCCAGCAGTCAAAGTTAGAGATGAGTCACCTACCTTCTGTCTTGTCTGTAGACTTTCTCAGAAGTACCTTAACAGCCAGTGAAACAAGAAACAGGAATTAAGAATATCTTCGTGTGGTGGATGAAACTAAACGCAAAAAGCCCAGCTTCCTGATGGGCTCTGTGGTGTGAATCCATCGGCACCAACACTGTCTTTTAGTTCCACCCAGGTGTTTGATCCCTGCACACAGAGCCTCTAGGAGGTGTTTATAGTTGTTAGAAAAAGGGATAAGAAACTTGACAGGTACTAATCAGGCAGGGCCTGTGTGGTGGAAAAGCTGGAGACCCAGGCTCTGGTG